GATAGTAAGTTATTTTTATCCAGAAAAAGACAAAACATTCATCAAAAAAAATATTTAGGTAAAAGCAGAAGAACGGCTTAACTTATAGGTATTTACGGAACTTTCTTTGGGGGTAGAGATTCGGGTGGGAGTATTATCTTCAATCACGGGTGAAAACTAATTGATTATAAAAAAGGAATTCCTTCCGGTACGATAAAGTCAAGTATCGAAAACACAAGGAAATTATTGCAATATTATACTGTTGTTTCAGTGTATCCAAATTATACACAGCACAATGAGGCGATGAAAATATAGTTTTTATTTTTTTTATGGATAAATAGGTACTAGTTAGTTTTTTGTACTAGACATACGGAAGCGAATCGATTTTTTGGAATTAAATGTAGCTTTTGTCACTCGGACCCGATCCACAAACGGTATTTTGCAAAAAAAATATCATTCTTTTACTCTGTTGGCGTACCTATTAAATTATACCTAATAAAAAAAAAACAAAAAAAACTTTAATGATGAATCGAACTATAAACTAAAAAAATATTTTTTAGTATAAGAATAAAGTGATTAACGAAAAAATTAATGTTATCGTGAAAAAATTGTGAGTACAATATTTTTATACTCATTCTACTTTCAGAAATCGTACCAATGGAATATTTAAAGCAACTGATATCGAGCACCTCACGCTTTTTCACAATAGCATTAATTTTCTCGTTAACACTTTATTCTTATACTAAAATATATTTTTACTTTTTATTCCGGTTCATCATTAAAGCGTGTTTTTTTAGTTTTTTAAACTATAATTTATTTTCCATTTTTTGTTTGATATGCTATAAAAGTGTGTTTTTTTAGTTTTTAATTTATTATCCTCCTTCGTCCTTGTTAAACGTGCGAAGTTTCAGTTCAATGTTAAGTTTTGAAGTGAGTGAAAATCACGTTCAAAGATAGATAAAAAGGACAACCCAACAAACACATCATCACGTTATCATTACATATAAATTATATATAAAGATTTCCTAATGCTATGAAGAATTCTGCTCTAAGTTATTAATCAAGCGAAATAAAATAGAGCAATCATAGGGATGGAGTCAAAACAATCATTAGAACGCAGCTAAATAGTATTTTTAATGTATTTGTTTACCTTTAACTATCGAGATCGATCGTCAATGACATTTTGATGTAGTCGAGTTACTAACGATTTATCTACTTCATTAATCATCTGACCGCTCTAAGTTACTTCTGGTGTTACGCCTCCGTGCCTTATATTAGTTTAAAAGTAACTTACTACTGCACGAAGATTTTGCCGTTGCAAAAATATTTTAGTTACTTAGTAGTTTATGTTCAAACTTTAAAACCAATTACTGGGGCCACTTGTGCCAAATTCGTCATTTGATTTAAATGTATTGATGTTTAGCAAACGTAATGTTGTTCTGTATGACGTATGCTAAATATGTTTAATACTAGAAGTCACTAAACAAAATAAATTGAATTGAATTGGAACATATTCGAACATATTTGAGCTTAAATGATACTCGTATTGCATCGGGAATAAAACTAAGATACGTAAATAGATACAAAACTTATAAAAAATGCGAAAATATAAGAAAAGTACCTATGTATATTATTTCCCATATTTCTATTTCTAAATAGTCCACATGCCACCTCCTTTATATGCGAGCCAAACAATGTTAAGCTCATATCTATCTTAGCCTTATCTTACCTTCTCGACTGATTGAATTAAAATTTAATAGCTCAAAAGGAAAAATAAGGTATCTACCTTTTTTTGAGTTACATGCGATTAAACAAACAGACAGGTAAGCATTGTGAATTTATATCTACAAATATGTATTAAATACCTACATCTGTCAAGCCCACATTGTCAAAAGAAAATTCAATGATGTTCTCCTGACCGATTCCGGCCACGGCGGCCAATCTCATTGAGACTAGCCAACTGCGCAGGAGATATTATAGTGCTCAAGTGTACGCGCAGACACAAGTGCACTCTCTATTCCTGTCACTCTCATACTCCGGTGGGACGACTGCTCGACACGACCAGTGAGAGTTAAGGCGCAGGACCGACGGCTTTTTTCGAGGCACGGGGGTAACACCGCCAAACTTCCCAACTCCGGAAAATTCAATACAAACTATACTTATCCATACATATAATAAAATTGTAACGAAGCCGAATCTGTACATTAAATATTTTTTGGAAAATCTTATTAAAATAGACATTATTTTCGATACTGAGGCCGAATCTATAGATTTTAGAATTTTTGTCTGTCTGTCTGTCTGTCGATCTGTTACCGCATCACGGAAAAACCACTGGAGGGATTTTGGATTTACTTTTTACCGCGGGAAAATATCTCATTTCTGAGAAAAAAATACAAAAACTGCAATTTAAGAGTACACTAATATGTAAAACCTAAGAATTTGGTTTTTCTTCATCTGAACGCGGGCGGAGCCGCGGGCAAGGCTAGCATACAATATATTTCTATTATTTTCCATTGTTTTATATTTTAATCGTACATGATGAAGTTATTATCATTTTATTTATTTATCTTATTTATTCTGTATTTAGAAAATTGGAATATAAAATTCAAATATGTGCATCAACGAATAGAGGACGTTGGTGATAATGTGTTTTGTAAATGCTCGCCGTTTCAAGGCCTGCAACATCTCATTTGTACCGAAAGTAGAAACTTACATAGTAAAATACTCGTTTGCATATTTAGATTTTGTAACAGATGCAAATATTTATATCGGAATATTACTTTGTTGTACACATCTTGAAAACGATATTTGTCAATAAAATTAATCACATAAAATTTCAATAGATTTATTATCACAGTAACTTATTAATAATCTTGCATTATTAATATAACTTAAAAATACAATTTAAACTGACAAACTTAAATATTGCTAATATCGCTTACATTACGAAGGCTTTTAGGCTCTTTAGGCGCCCCCACGTAGTAGGTACCTGTTTGGTTGATATAGTGTTGTTTTTTTAAGTGGCTTATTATACTACAATGTTATGAACTTTCAATCAAACAAATAACCTGTATTTAACTCTCAATCGAGTAGAATTGTAACCTTGTTAGTAAAAAAACTTTTTATATAACTAATTTTAAATATTTAAATTTTGTACCTTGAAGATTATATAACCTTAATGTTTTTTTTTCGTTTTAATTACCTGACAATTTTGTAAATATGCAAACCATACGCCTCTACATAATGAAATCTATGCTATATGCCTCCACAGATGACAAAACATAACGTGCACTCTCAAAGCTTTATACAACATACAAAAATATTGTTACAATAACTGACTCTTACATCATTAAAAGCAGATGTTTATGTAATGAAAGAAAAATAGAATTTCTTTGATATGTTTAACGTTAATCTATTTATATATATAAAAATAAATTGCTGTTCGTTAGTCTTGCTAAAACTCGAAAATGGCTGGATCGGTATGTATAATTCTTTTTTTGTTTTATTGAGGGTGTGTCAGGGGTGGCTTCAGTTTAAAACATATAGGTAAACAGTTGGAAAATCGAAAAGTTCAGAACTGTTTATTTTGTATGGGAACCACTACTTCGGACTACTTTCGATAGTGGCGGAAGCATCATCTACAACAATGCGTCCAGTTTAAGTTGGAAAAAAATAATATGTATAATAGGTATATAGTCTATCTATTCCATACAAACCATTAAAGCGTACCTAGGGATGAACCTAAGCTAAGCGAGGGTAAGTCGCTAGTTTAGCATATAAATTACCAGCGACTCAGGTTGAGCTCGAGTTCGTCCCTAGCTTCAACTACTTTCTAACTTCCATATTTGAATCGGATATTATTAAATTTTTCATTGGATTTAATTTTTTTCGTGGGATCCAATGTTTTTTCTAAAATAAAAGTAGCTTAAGTTACTCCTTATTACATCAGCTATCTGCCAGTGAAAGTCCCATCAAAATCAGTCCAGCCATTTCAGAGATTAACCGGAACAAACAGACAGCCAGACAGGCAAAAATTGCAATAAATGTTGTTTTGGTATATGTACCGTGTAGGTAAACATCCATATGCATTTAATAAAAAGCTATTATTTTGACATTACAAACAGACACTTCAATTTTATTTATCTGTATAGATTTAACGTGATGTCATTTAATTCGCTGATAGAAATAATATGTACTGTATGTTTAATTTTTACTTTTTAGCTTATACTAAGCCAATAGTAATGATTATTCAGGTTATGCGTTATGGGTGATAAATCTGTTGTAGTGATATCTAGAAAAGAAGATGATTATTCATCATTCAGCCCTTTTCACGTCCCGCTGATGGGGAAGAGCTTTCAATATGATATGGTATCAGGCCATAGTTTACCAATCTGGGTGAGTTGTTGGACATGTCTTTCGAAAACTAGTTAGGTTCCCTCAGACATGCACCTGTGTGCAAGAAACCTTTCTTTACGATGTTTTCTTTCACCGTAAGGTGAGTCACAATAATGTTGAAAATGATTTGCACATGACAATATTGGGGATTCGAGACCCAAGATTTAAACCAGTTTCATTTGATTTTACAAGCGAGCACTAATCCATTGGACTGTCACTGTCAAAGAGCAATTCATAATATGTACTCACAACCATTTATGGCATTGAGTAATTTTTAAGGTATTAATAATTATAATTAAAAAAAATGTGGATCACTCATACAATTCTAGCAATATTTAATTATTTTCAGTAATAACGTTGGAAATAATTATCTACAGTGGTTTCACTCACTGTTATTGATAAAAACAAAAACTTTGTTCATTTATAGCATGACACAGGTAATGAGATGTCGTAACAATGTTTGGCGCAAACCGTTTAATTCAGATTTATCTGCAACCATTTAATAGAGATGATGGAGTATTGAAGCAGACAAGAACTGTAGCTGTGCTATTATGGTTGACACTTTTGACTGATCGTTCTCGCAGAGACGGCACGACGGCTTCCTACATGATCGCTAACACTAAACAATGGCCATCCAACTATCTTTAATCGCCACAAAATGGCGTCTAATTGGATCCGCAAAACGTCGTAAGCATTTTAAAGTGGCTCGTCGGCTCCGAGATAAAGTAATCATTCAATTCAAGGCTGCGATAAGTGGGATTGTGAAAGTTTTAATTGCTATCCATATTTTTCGATCACTACTCGCCGATATTTCGTTTATTACTTGTAGTCCATCAAAAATAATTGAAATCGGCAATAATGGCTTGCATTGAAGTCAAAAAATATATTTTGTTAATGGATTTTATTATAAAATATTACGAATTTCTGCAAAGTGTCTTTTTAGTGTTATCCACTCGTTTTTCTGGTTTCATAATCTAATTGAATTAATCCTAAGGATAAAATTGTCTAATAAATTAACAAATAACACACACATGGCACTTTACATAACATTCTGTAAGTATATAGAAACAGTAGCGACTCACCCTCGCTCTGCTCGGGTTCGTCCCTAGGTACCTTTTAACGATTAGTATAGATTTGTCAGAAATGAGATATTTTCTCGCTGTAAAAAGTATTTTCTATGTTGACTCGTTTAACCAGCTATCAGCATGCTAAAATTTCATCAAAATCTGTTGAGTGGGTTTGTCGTGATGCGTTTCCAGACAGACACACAGACAGACAGAGAGATAAAAAATCTAAAGAACATTATGGATTCGGCCTCTGTATCCATAATAATGACTATTTTAATAAGATTTTACAATAAATATTCAGTGGTTACGGAGTCTACTCGATACAAACAAACAAAAAAAATCCTCTTTATAACATTAGAATAGATGCTATGTTCTGAGTATGTTTATTGTTTTATGTATGTAATTGAAAAATGACAAATAAACAGACAGACAATAAAGCAAGTAACAGTTGCCAAACATATGAGCTTACTGAAAACTTATGAAAACAGTTTATAAATTAAAATTCACATATCGATAAAATACATAAATATTATAATAAGTACCTTATATCCGTTTGAAGTAACTATTACAATTTATTTGTATTGAATTTAAAATAATATTTTCCTATTTATCTATAGCCAATAAATATTGCGAGTAATATTTGCATAAGCAAAGCAAAAGATATATAAGATAGCACCCAAACATTAATAACAGTAAATCAGTTGCGTAATGTAATACCAATTGGACTACTTAATATATCATTTTAATTCTGAAGCAAATTATATTCTGTAAACATATTACAGATAATCCTTTATGATGTTTATTTACACGTTAATTCAAATTAACTAGTAAATCCAGAATCTATAACTCAACGTCATGTGCTTTTCATCTTAAGTTTTCGTAATCACGATGAACCCCTTAGGTCGTTAGGTTACAGTACACTCTCGATTTCTTCCCGATTGTGTAACTTATTAAATCAAAAACACATTTCTTGTTACGCAACTTTAAGCTACAGCTAAACGAGATTTTCGTCTGTACGATTCGGTTTAGCGTGAGAATATGAATATTGTTTATTTATATATCATAGAGATTATTTTTACATAAACATAAAGTATTCAAAGCTAGTTAACAACAGCACATTGCATTTGATAAGTGACCTTAAATTGTATAAATATATTACAGGAATATCTACAGGAAGACGAAGAGATCAATCTGGAAGCTGGCATCCTACACTTAAAATGTCAGCATCTCACACAAAGAAGTCCTGAGAGAGCATCATCAACTTGCAGCTCCACTGCTCTTAAAGCAGCACTAATGGCACTCTAGCCTGAATTTTATAATTTGAAACAACTTAATTCTCTAAATTGAACGTGATATTATTTAAACCTTAATTTTTAAAATAAAAAAGTACAACATAAACTAACATTCATAAAAAGGCACGGCCAAAAGTCTGTGGCGTTAATATACTAACATATATAAGACTAGGGGCTCACCCTCGCTTCGCTCGGGTTCGCCTCTAGAAAAACACAAACAGATCTGTCCCACGGGAACCTTTCTTTTTTCCGGGATAAAAAGTAACCTATTGTTTGACCGGTAATATAAGGTATCAGCATGCCAAATTTTACTAAATCAGGTGCATAAGTTGTTGTGTACTAAGCTGTATAAGTTACTATAGTTTTTTAACTATACCACGGGAACTTTTTAATTTTCGGGATTGAAAAGTATCTAAGATGTTGCTCGGGGATATAAGGGGGTACCATGCATAATTTCATTTAAATCGGTCCAATAGACTCGGAGGTTAGCCCGTACAAACAGACAAACAGACTGAGAAACAAAATAAAAAAAAACTGGATTTGTTCTATTTGTCTTCTTACACCCCCCTGACTCGGTTTTTAGCTTTTTTTTCTATGTATAGACATTCGACCTCTACAGTTTTATTATAGTATAGATCTTCGTTTGACGACACGTTTGGCTCAGTTTGTAATGACCCTACTTGCTGAGCCAGCGGCCGCGGATTCGAGTCCCGCTGGGGACATTCATTTGCGTGACGAACACAAATGTTTGTACTTCAGTCATGGGTGTTTATATTTATAATATGAATGTATCTAAAGTATATATGTGTAGAGTATCAACTATCTGGTATCCATAACACAGGCCTTGTAGCTTACCATGGAATTAGATGGTGCTGTGTGTTAATGTCCCAACATATTTATTTATTCGTTATAGGAGATAGCCTGGAGCAATGGCAGACTATATACATGTAGAAATGAACACGCTACCATCAAAACATAAATCAACTTATATTAGAGAATGAACTAGTTTCTCACGTTATTCTTTCTAGAATTAGCGTTAAAAAATTAAAACCAATAACAATAATATTTATATATTTGAAAACTACTAAAATTGATATCAAGACCAGTTCTTTTTTGTATTCTTAAAATCTATTTTGCCTCCTTGCTTTATAAATTGGTTTGACTTAAATCTATATTTTACGTTTTACTAACTTTAATCTAAGTTCATTTAATGTTAGCTTTATATGGAAAAATCAGAAACCTCTATTATATACTACATTGTTATCGAAAATGAAAGAATATAAATCAATTAAACCTTTTGATAAAACCGATATTTTTTTTAAGATTTATATAATCTATACATATACCTAATAAAATTGTAACTAAGTCGAATCTGTATATTAAATAATATTTTTTTGAAAATCTTATTGAAATAAACATTATTATCGATACAGAAGCCGAATCTATAGTTTGTAGAATTTTTGTCTGTCTGTCTGTTACCGCATCACAGAAAAACCACTGGAGGGATTTTGATGAAATTTGGTATGGTGATAGCTGGTTATCCGGGTAGTTTTCACCTCGGGAAACTATCTCATTTCTGAGAAAAATTACAAAAACTGCTTTTAAGAGTATACTAATACGTAAAACCTAAGAATTTGGTTTTGGTCATCTGAACGCGGGCGGAGCCGCGGGCAATGCTAGTAGACTATAAAATTGATATGAACTGTATATATCTGATAAACCAAAAGCCATAGCCTTGTTTATTTATGTCCGCAGTGAATCGTGTATAAAATCATAATGGCAATTAATCTGACACAAACAATATTTTGTTACTGCGCTAAAACTGTTGCGAGATCCGAACGTGGCGTGAAATGGCCAGTTAGTGAGTAATATCATGTTATTTGGAGGCGACGAGGGCGAGGGCGGTCGTGACGCCGGGAGACCGGTGCCGGCGCTCGGTCACGAGTCGGTCTGCTGACCCCACCCGGCTCTGCCTTTCCTCTTCACATCTCACAATAAATACTTATTTATGACAAACATCTATGACATTAACCGTACACGTTGTATCTTGTTTTATGGCGATATGCAAGCTACAGATTAGTTTATACTAAGATACCGATACTTTATAATGCCAGATCGAAAAGTCCGACTAAACATTGAGAAATATATTTTCATAAAAACCGCTTAAGGATGGCAAATTAACACTGAGTAAATAGTTAGATATATATCATTTTAATATGACATGATTATTATAAGTTATTTAGTTTGGATCCTATTAATTAACTAGCATGCGCTTGGAATAATGTTTAATTGTGCAATATGAATTTTATATATTATGATAGACTTTTGACAAATTAAATAGTTTTGATTAACACCGTTTTTTATTTGATTGTATTAGGTACTAATAACTTGCCCTAGCTTCGCTCGGGTGCATTTTTAGGCGTTTAGAGTAGCCTCAAAGGCTCAACGGTAGTTTATCTGTTATTCCAGGTCGTAACTCATAGTCTATCTGTGTACTAAATTTCATCCAAATCCAATCAGCCCCTTAGTGTGAAGAAGTATGAAACATACATATACACACATACAAACTTTTGCATTTCTAACAGTAATATTATATTTGAATATCACAGACATAATAGATAATAGTTGAGTTAGGCTATAAATATGTTTACAATTTTTTACTAAGATTTAAATGACTAAAAAAAGAAACAGAAATTAGAGTATCTTTGATTATTACAAGTTTTTATCTAATCCCTCCATGACCGCGGACACCCCGAGGTGACAGTTAACAATAGATTTCTTAGAATTTTAATTAATTTCTTAGAAATTTACCTGGAGACTTGAAAGGGCTAGCTGAAAAAAATTAATTAATAGCAAATAACATTTTGAATAGCAAACTTTTATTTAATTGCCCTAAAAAGAAAAAAATAAACTTTAAATTAAACAAAACCTGAGTAAATCAATTTATTAGACTACACAATTTATATAAAAGCTTGTGTAAAAATGTTTTTTTTACTATTAATTTATTTTAAGTGTACATTATATATATACTATTTTGATTATAGTAACTAAAACTATTATGTGTCAGCCCTGCTACACTGACATATTACAAACTAGTGTTTTAAATGGTTATGTACAATTCGATGTCTTAATATTAAATATTAATGTGTGTGATAAAGTAAATGAAACACGAATGTAATAGACGAAAATCTTCACAGCAAGCTCAACTGGGCGCATTAAAGTAATGCCTGTTGCATACAGCTGCAATTTTATTAACATTTTAGTGAAGGTAGTCATGCCGCTGGGAAACTACACAATCGGCAATCAACAAACACGTAAATTATGTTCGTACTAATGCATTAAATTACATACGTCTTAGACACTTTAAGCCGTGTTAAGAAATAAATTAAAATATTTAATTTAAATCCAATAATAATTCTGAGTGTAGTAGTATGTTGGTATCCACTTATTGCCAGCCACTTTGTTTACTTTTTGCTACTACTACTTGTCATAAAATGATTCTTGGTTGGTCTGTTCATTATTGTATTGGTTCGAGAGGTGAATCATATAAAATCATAAATTTAATTTAAATTGATCAATATACTAATTTTAGATTATAGCTAAAATAACTGTCTAATAACGAAGTCGTGGACGAATGGTAATTATTAGTGGTACTTAGGTCATTTAAACATGCTCTAAGAATGCTGTGCTAATTAACTACAAAGCTTGAGAGAAATTTCCATTTGAATTGGTACATACCTGTTGAAGTAGTTAGCAAATACAAGTAGGAATACGATTTTGTAAGATTAAATAATTAACTCTTATAATTATTCGTATTTTATTTATAATAAACTAAATTACTTATGATAGCATTTTGTATTTATAAACGTTGGCAGAATTTTAAACGTAGTAGTGTAATGTAAAATACATACTAATATACGTAAAATATTTTTCTATTCCTTCGTGTACAGTATTTATTATAAGGTTAGGTCATCGGAATAGTGATATACTCGTATATAATAGATTTTTTATTCTAATTACTCTTTGAAATGTTTGATTTATAATAGTCTCTTCAAATTCATATTAGGGATCAAATAATATTTAAAAAAAAATGGAATTGTGGAATTATATTTATTGCAATCCTTCTTAGACTTATATGGTAATTTTCTAATATATTACATTTTCTTTTGACGCAATAAACATAAAATTTACTGTTCAGTGGTGACTAGGCGGCTCGATTCCCACAGATGATAAATAGAATTGCTGGTAGAGATTAGATTATATGTATTTGATTTGTATCGTGCCTCATTTAACAGGTAGAGTTGTAAATAAATACATATATTTCAAGTATTTACTCTGAACAGTAGATTTATTATTGTAATATATTTAAAATCAAAAGACTAGGCGTTTAAGTATATTGGGATCACTTCTAAATGGTACTGTATTTTGCACTATACACGTTGGGTAGCAGCTTCGATTTTTGATGTGTCAAAATTGGTTTTATAAATACTGTAACATTATATTCTGTACTGTCTGACGTAAAGGTATTTGGTATTATTTTTAGAATTTTAAGTATGCAAAAACTTTGGAAGAAAGAAGTTGTACTGAATAAGATTTTGTAAAACTATATAGTATATTTTATTAATCTTTCATCACAGTGCCGTGATAATGATTTACAAATTCTTTACGAGTTTCTCTCAGGATATTATGTACTTACATAAATTATCCGTAATTATAAAAACTCTCAAGCACTAAGTAAGAACTTGTGTAAGCTAATATAAAAGAAGGCAATATATCGTTAAATCTTGTCAATACACCTCGTACAATTAAGATAAATGCTAATAAATAATAATCATAAACTAAACACGTATTAATTAAGAACAGTGGGAACTAGTAGAAACTTCTTAAGTCGGTGACCTGCCAGCCAACCAGCTTCATTTCATTCATAATTTAAACACTATTATTCATCAAGCGAAATGTGCAAGCATAGCAAAATAGCTCAAGTAGATATATAGTTGCAATGCGAAAAAATTTTTGCTATTAAATAGTAAAAGTTTTATACCCCAAAAGTCTTTTAGATATTTTGTAGATGGTTGTAAAAATGAAAGTTTTATAGCCGTTAATGTTCCGAACGAGGAAGTCTTCAGTTGATTGACTGGACCGCTATTATGACATGCAATATTCAAAATAAAAACAAGTAAATTATTATTGATGGTCTTTGCAAATTCTATAAGCCACATCGAAAAATAAAATGTGATACTTTTCATTTCAATAAATGCATTCCCTTAAGTAAAAAAATATTTTGTAACTCTTTTTACTTACTTACTTACTAATTACTACTTCTTATACAAAAAGAAAATAAAAGCACTTTGTGTTTAAATTCTATACACGTTTTAAGCGTTTTACCCAGCGTAGAAGTCTAAACAATTTGTAGCTTTAATAAATCTAGTAACGAGATAAATTATTATCTACCTGTTCAATGTAAATATTTTTCCCCAAATTCCTGAATGTAAGCTTAATGAGCCTGTGACAAAACAAGTTATTACGTCGCCGCATGCCCTGCAAATTAAACGTACATACTACACTAATAAAATAACCGTGAGAGATTGCGGTGCTGCGCCCTAGTCGCCGTGTTTTGCATATATTTAGTTGCATTATATCAAAGAACTAGCTAGTAATAGGCACGTGATATTATATCAACACATTATTATACAATAATTAGAGTCTATTCAAGTTTATTATCAATTTTAAAGCCATATTTATTATATTATATATCACTAGCATTGCCCGCGGCGCCGCCCGCGTTCTGATGACAAAAAAGCAAATTCTTAAGTTTTACATATTAGTATACTCTTACAATGCAGTTTTTGAATTTTTTCTCAGGAATGAGATATTTTCTCGCGGTAAAAAGTATCCTATATGTTAACCAATATAACCAGCTAAGACCATACAAAATTTCATCAAAATCCGTCCAGTGGTTTTTCTGTGATGCGCTAACAGACAGACAGACAAAAATTCTAAAAACTATAGATTCGGCCTCTATATCGCTAATAATGTTTATTACAATAAGATTTTCCAAAAAATATTTAATGTACAGATTTGGCAAAGTTACGATTTTATTATATGTATAGATGAAATAAAGGTAAGATTAAAAAAAATAGTACATAAATACTTACATACTTATATAGCTACTTATATATATTCTGATAATTATTTTTTTTACCATAAGAGATTTTGCATATTTAATATACAGTAGATTTTCATTTTTAGTCTTATCATGTTCAGGAACATTACCGTTAAGGAAGGCAGATGGGCACGATATTGTAGTGGTTTAAACAGAGCACTATTTTACGCGGACCGGTTGTGCGCACGCCTACGGTTTATACTATGATTTTATCAATAAATTATCACTAAGATCCTATTTTAGTCTTGGAGTTTTCAAATTGCCTTTAATGGCATGGGAACTAAACAATAATCTTGTTGATGTATTAAATAATAATCATATAATTAAAGCAAACATATAAAATTTATAAATGTCAAAATATTACAGATATTTCCTACATTAAATTAACAAAAAATATCAATCAAGTAATTTATAATATTGCATATAAATTTGTACCTATGCTGCATTTAAATTTAAACCGAGGTCGTCTTCTTTCCTAAATGACTGCACTCGTAGGTAGATATGCTAATGACCAAAAGAAGCTCAATAAATAAGACATCGCCGTATAATTTCCAAAATAAAATTGCATGTCATTCGAGGGCGTGGTGGAGTCGAAATAATTTCATGATTTATGTTACGGCGTAATAAAACTCAGTTTTTGCTTTTTACCCGTTGAAAATCGGTTCACATTGAGAAACGGCCATGAATTTAATCTGAATCGTGCGGTTGGTAGGCCGATGAGTGATACGGTACTCGAAGCTCTTGAAATAATTTCATGGGGCGTGCGTGTCTTTTGGGAGCTTGCTAATGTATTTTTGCAAGCGATGCGGCGCGCGGGAGTTACGCAAGGGTGCCCGGAGAACTCGTCTGACCGGCTTCAGATCTGGGCCAGAGCCATCTCTCCACTGAGGTATTACCGCTAATAGATATTGAACACCCAACTAGTTTGCTCCTGCGTTCACATTCGACCCCTTCGATTTCCTTTCAAAATGCATCTATAAGATAGGCAACTGTTAGGAAATAACTTACAATCTTATCTATGTATTAGTTATATAAAGCAAATTCATTTGAATTTATATATTTATATCATTAAGTTTTATTGGATACATTATTAAAAAACTTGTCTATGCAATCTCCTCTAAATAGCGGAGACTGCATATTTATGCGCACAGACAGTGATTTAAATAAATTTTGAGAATTAAGTATTCAATCATGATTTTAAATTCATAAGGAATTTAACCTTCGTTTGATGATAGGCAGTCGTAAAAGACAAAAAGACAATTTATTATATTTAATTGCATATTTAATTAAATAATAAAATTTTCCACTAATATTATATTATTTTTGATATTATATTTGTACTTTTATATAATATTAAAACATTTGAATACAGCCACTGGCTTCTAATAAATAACAAAATTGAGAAATATAAGTTCGCATTACACAATTGAAATTTCACTAAGTGCTGACATTTCATTAAAATTATATTGAAATCGTGAAATGGACCTTGCATCCGATTGATTGAAGCCGTCGGTGATCGACTGCGCGTGCGTCGGTTACTGCCTGGTGCCGGCACCGACAGTATTGATTTATATCGAATTGCGAAAGTTATTAGCATTATTTATTATTGAGGTCTAACCACATTAAATACGGTAGACCATATTGTCTTTAAGGGCTTTATTGTGTTTAAAGAGGTATGATCGATGAATTTAAAACGTTAACATTTTGATCAGAAAACTTGAATTATTCTAGTAATTGTTCACAATAAGACATATTATTTCATGTGATTTTCATTTACACAAGTATGTGTACACCTTCATTCCTGATAAATCTAATTTATTGGGAGCTCGTGCAATCATGCGCGTGTACCCAGTAAACACAGAGTTTATCTCGGTAAATAACTAGACAGTGGAAGATTCATTAGGCGTCGATCCGTGTCGAGCCGCGCTGTAATCGAAGCAATTGTTCTCTACGGAAATTCAATTATTAGTCCCGAGAAAATAGCAAATACGAGGATGATGAAGCAACACTCTGAGAGAAGCTTAAAATAATTGTTCATTATTTATCTTTAAGTCTAAACTATAATTAAACGTTTGATAATTGAAGGAAGGTAAGCTGTTTGAGCAATAAATTGTTGACATCGCCCTCTGTCCTGGCGGCGGTTCGATATACGGCGTCGTGCATCGTGCTGTTGTTTTCGATATTAATAGGTTGAAGAAACTCAAGTCTAATGCACCCGAATATTATATTTCAAATTTACTTTAATACTTATTATTTTATGTAATTGTTACACAGTAAAAATATCATTCGCAATGCTTTATTTATCATTTTAGTCAAATTATGGTAATATTTATTAAAATTTAAACGTCTTTAATGTAGATCTCGTTCGATAGCATAATATCTTATTGTTCGTAATTCAGACGAATGGCGATAGTAAAGAGAAAATGTATACAATAGCATTAAATTGAATTATTCGAGAGCAGCCTCTTAAGGGTCCATAATAGCTTACAATTATGCTATTCCGACCAACCTCTAAACTCTTCAATAAAATTCCTCACGTGGAATACATAAGTGCTCGACAAGACCCAGGCACATTGTAAGCCGCTGGGAATATGGAAAACATGATCCTAACTGTAAATTTATTTGTAACGTATTGCGCTAAATGGTGTGGCTTATAAATTTTGCAATTGTCTGTTGTCATTAAATATTCTATAGCATAAATCAAAGCGTTATCAGGAGTCGTCGCGGTGTTACATCGCAGAGGCTTAGAGAAATAATTTAGAGATATCGATAGTCCGGATTACGAACAACGACAAAACATAAGCGACATCTTCGCCTTGGAAATATTTATCTTCCCATAGAAGCTGTAAAGGCGTTTAAATTATATCTCTATCTGAAAAGGACTATTGTCGTTGAACAATGTTAGCAGGGTTTAATTTACATAAGAACTGTACAGAAGGTATATTATAATTCGATAGTTAAAACTTATTGTTTATATTATAAAATTAATATATATGTTTAAATATAAAAAGAAAAAAAAACATACTAAAGACCTAATATAACTGGATTGTTTTTTAATAACAATTTTACTAGTCGTACGTGACGTGTTTTGATTACAGACTGGTGATTAAAAAATATTTTTATTATTTACTTATTTATTTTTATATTTATTATTTTTATTATGTTACAGAAATATCTTCAACAAATATATATAGAATAAATTAACAATGCTAAGATTATGCAGAATTTTAAATTTAGCATTTTAATCAATTTTCTGATTCTTTTTTTTCTATAAAAGTCGGTTTTTATTACACATAATTCGTTTGTCTGCTTATCAACAGTCAATATAATTTCCTAATTGATTTACATCAATCATTATTGTTGATGTATTTTCATTATTAATATAATTGAAGTGTAATAAAATTGGAGTGTCTGTTTGTAATGTCTAAATAACAGTTTTTTACTAAATGCATATGAAATTATGCACGGTATTTATAAGGAAAACACAATTTTTAAAAATTTTGTCCGTCTGTCTGTCTGTTTGTTTGTTCCGGCTAATCTCTGAAACGGCTGGGCCGATTTTGACGGGTCTTTCACTGGCAAGTACCAAGTACCTAGTTGATGTTATAAGGAGTAACTTAGGCTACTCTTATTTCAGTAAAAGATTTAGGGTTACGCTCAAAAACAAACCCGAGCGAAGCGAGGGTGAGTCGCCAGTACTTTAAAATAAATAAATACATATATATTAGAAAAATAAAAAACCCGACTGCATCAAAGCTAACTAAAAAAAAGGAAAACAAGTTCACGAAGCAACATAGTATTATGTAGTCGGAGACATACACGCTTCATCCTTGTCGCGAGATGTACATACACGTATTTTTAAGAAGGAAAATTAGCGAGAATGGCTGTTAACCAACTTTAAATCAATATATAACCTAAACTGTTATTTAAAATGAATAATACACGGATGTTATACCTTTTTGGAATTTTTGTTATGAGCCCTTTAATTTAATACCCAAATTGCAGAAAAATCACCTTAAACAATGAAATCTAGCAGCCTCCAATTTGTTTTATGTCACCTATCTAAAAAACTCCAAAACCAAAAATCAAATATTATCATTATACAAAAATATTTAATATTTATTTATTTAATTAATTATAATAATGAAATTGTAAAACTTCTAATTGTCAAATATTACTAACAAAAATGAAATTTAATCTAATCTAAATAGGTTTCGGTTTAAATAATATCTTTTATAAATATATTATTGCTGTGCTAGTAAGAATTACTTGGAGCGCAATGATGAATCTTTATTGAGTATCAAGATTATATGAAACTATACATCAAATTAATTTATTTAATATGCAGTACTCGTAGTCCCGTTTATAATATTAAACTCAACGCATAAATTATGGATGTAATTAAGAGATTGATTAACTCAGATACCTCTATCTAGTGTAGCGCATAGTTATTAGGTAAGGCGAAAAACATAGGCTAACTATATAATTAAGCGAAACGAAATTTTAAAATAACTCTATTGTATGTACACTAGATATTAAAGGCTTTATAGAGTATTTATTAAATTGTAGAGCTGATTATTCATAGATTTTTAAGAACTGAAAGATTTTATTAGTTTGCTATAATTGGTATATATCATATTTCTATTTATGCTAAACATATGTAAAACAATGAAGCACTTTTCCTGTTATAATCATTATATTCAGTAATTAATAAATTTTATACACACAACAGAAAATCATACGTCCCGCCCAAAATATATTCGTCGTCAAAGACTTGGTGTTGCATATTATGTAAATAGAGCTGAAATGTTTTTGGAAGGCATTTTATTATTTTAATTTTTGATAGTAGAGCAGGAAATAGTGGCCATGGACTTTATAAAATAATTTAGTAGTTTACCTCATTTTATTTCAAATTAATTGCATTTAAATAAATAGAATCTCATATTTTGCTGAATAACAGTAAATTAAGAAACTATTAATGTTGATTGATTATATATTGCTACTAGCATTGCCCGCGGCTCCGCCCGCGTTCAGATGACCAAAAACCAAATTCTTAGGTTTTACATATTAGTTTACTCTTACAATGCAGTTTTTGTATTTTTTCTCAGAAATGAGATATTTTCCCGCGGTAAAAAATCCTATATGTTGACCCGGACAGACAGACAGACATACAGACAGACAGACAGACAGACAGACAGACAGACAGACAAAAATTCTAAAAACTATAGATTCGGACTCTATATCGATAATAATGTCGATTTGAATTAGATTTTCCAAAAAATATTTAATGTACAGATTCGGCTTGGATACAATTTTATTATATGTATAGTTGAAGTACATATTTTTAAGCTGAGATTATCACTTGTCTTACGGTGAAGGAAAACATCGTGAGGAAACCTGCATATCTGAGAGAACTTAATAAGTTTTCGAAAGACGTGTGTAGTACGCCAACCCGCACTTGGCCAGCGTAATGGACTATGACCAGATTCCCCTCGTATTGAAGGGAGGCTCTTGCTCAGTAGTGGGACTTTAAAAAGGGCTGAAGACATACTTCAGAGTTCACTTACATACATTATTTTGAAAAATTATTATATTCATTACTGCTTGTTTCCTTTTATGCGCCAACGGGGTAACGGTTCGGTTGATTTTTAGAATGAAAATCGTTTATGGATTGGTATGGCTTCTTATTATCTTAGTATACAAAGTAAATAGATAAATAAATAATATGTGTGTTTCAATGTTCTATATAGGTAATTTTTGATTTAGGCTATTACAAAAAAATACTCTAAAAGTTAGAGTGATTGAATGCGCTGTGGGTAAGTCTTTAGTATGAAAAAATCAATTAATATATTAAAAACTTGAAATATTAGGTATTTATAAGGTAATAGGTATATGCAAAAATAAAATATATACTTACACCGGTTTTGTACCGCTTATTAAGGCTCTCATAGCAAGCATATGATATTCTGCCGCCATTGGGACACTATTAGCATATACATAAACCGTGAGATTCTGTTCGAGATTTGGGTGCCATTTTACTTGATAATAATTACGATGTGCGAATATTGCGGTTCTTTAGATTATGCTTTGACAAATCACGACTTTGCAATTCCAATGCAGCAGATTTAATGTATGGGCGGCAGTTTGCATTCTAACCGCGACCCGGGGCCACCTCTTTCCTAATGCACGCTTATTTGAGCTTTTTAACCTTTCATCTGTTGCTGAGTTTGGAGGAGCATTAAACAATAAATCTATAATAATAAAATTATCGTACTGATAGCGTTTAATTACAAGAACCTGCCCGTGTAATTACTGAACCTGAACGAGTTTGCGCTCTGTACTGGCTAGCTTAACTTATAGTAGAAGATCCCAATCTATGTGGTGGACAATCACTGTTTTTCCAGGCGAATTTTTTTTTAACTATAAAACATATTAACAAATATCAAAAATTTACACCAGCCTATTTCATTTCATATATTAAAAAAAATCATGTTTTTTTTAAGTACAATAACTCTTTTCTGTCGTATGACAAATTAGTATCAGTTGAAAGTAAAACACTTGTAGAAAATGTCATTATACGTCATTAACGAACCAAGTATCAAAATGTAGATAATTTTATAAAAAAATAGCGGCTCACCCTCGCTTCGCTCGGTTTCGCCTCTAGAAAAACACGAATAAAAATCTATTAGCTCCCACGGGAACCGTTCATTTTTCCCGGATGAAAAGTAACCGGTTGTTTGACCGGCAATATAAGGTATCAGAATGTTAAATTTTACTAAATTAGGTGCATAAGTTGTATAAGTTATAATAGTTTTTTAACTATCCCACGGGAACCATTATATTTTCCGGGATAAAAAATATCTAAGACGTTGTCCGGGGATATAAGATACCACCATGCAAAATTTCATTTAAATCGGTCCAATAGATTCGGAGATTAGCCCGTACAAACAGACAAACAATATCACACGGGAACGCAGTCGAACCCTCCCCACCAAGTTTCAGCCAAATCGGTTCAGCCGTTCTTGAATTATAAATAGTGTAACTAACACGACTTTCTTTTATATATATAGATTTAATGATACCGAGGGTTATCATACCAAAAAATCTCCAGACTGGAGGTTTTTCAGTTAGGAGGCAATTAAAACATATCATAAAATAAGGTTAACTCAATAATTTGAATATTAGTTTTGTACTTTTGAAAGAAATAATTTTTGTACTTTTGGATAATGTTAACCTCACTTTTTATATAAGAAAAATAGTTATATCCCTAAAGAATAATGCACATAAAGAATTAAAAAAAAATTAGTTCTTTTCTTGCATGGAGATCCTAATAACTTATTAATCTGTGTTTTCCTTGAATTAAGAATAGAAAGATACGAATTTCATATAATTTTTATTGATCTAATGTCAAATTATCCTAATTGAAAAATAGATAGATGTGGGAAGGATGTGTGATTGATATAAAGAAAATTTTAGATTATATTATAACATATGCAGCACACAACCATTAATAGAAAACAGCTAAATTATTATTAGGTAATGTTAGTCACATAAATTTAGAAGGTACATGTTATTCTAGTATAAACACCAAAATTGGGAAACAGGCACGATAAGAATGCATGGTTTGCAAAACAATAAGCAGTTAAAGTAATTGCTACAATAAATTTCCTCAGATATAAATTGTATTGATCTGCCAAAACATCATGCATAATATGATACTATGAACTATTAATAATTGGGGCCGACTCCATAAAGGTTTGCCTTTAACAGTACCAGCAACGCACGACAAATCACTAATTAAAAGATCTCTTATGACAGATTCATGATGGAAATTATTATTTATTAAGTTATCGTGCTATCCTTTCTCTAACGATTGCGAATACGAGGGTAGTAGAGTATATGGACGTGTTTTGTAAGAGTTGCTCGAATGAGGTCAGCCTCGGGCGTGATCTTATTCTGGGGAACGGCGAGGGTTACGTAAGCTTGGTTGTGCTAAGGTGGTTAAGGGTGGGAGTAGGCGGGGCAGTGAAAGGGCTGGGCGGGGCGGCGTGCTCGATACCGCCCATCACATTTCACCACCGCTGCGACGCTTCTCGTGCGTCCTACTTCCACTGCAGGTTCGCTCTTGGCTCTTCATTGTGTGCCAACAACCTCGAACAATAGTCTTGTGAAATAAATAGATAAGATTTACCTTCCTATACCATTTAAGGTAATTATACCTTTGAATTGAAACAGTTACAATTATTCTTACTATTCATATAATATTATATTGATATGAATTTTAGTCGTCAAAATTTTACTATTTAGTCAGATAAGTTACAAAAATAATGTTAGTACTAGTATTAAATATTTTAAGTCTATTAATGTCATATTTTTCTAAATAAGCAATAGCAATTGTGCTGAAAGGTACCAATTTAAACTACGTTTGAGTCTAAATAAGACGTCGCTTCATGGCGTCGTAAAGACCGCATTACTCTCGTCGAAGCCGAGGGCCAACATTATCCCTTCGCCGGGGGCGGCATGTGCCGTCCGCTACACCCGGCTAAAAGCACATGAATTTTCATACAAACGCTTTGTCCTAAATCAATCCGTGATATACATTTCAAACTGTAATAGAACTTGCTACTTATTGTAGGTATTGATATCTTTGCAAATGAAAGTCGTAACGTAGTATGTTCATATACTTTGGCAAGTACCTACTTAAGTTTTAAATAAAACTATCTTTTCGCATTTTTTCGCGGATTTATTTGGATTTTTTGTTCCCGACGTTTCGAATGCTTTACAGTAATCATGGTCACGGGGGAGACTGAGGTGTTAGATGACTCGAAGGTATAGTTGTTACAGACAGCCTACTCACAAATAACAAAATGAAAATTGCACCAATTACCTTACAATATTTTTAACTTAAAAAAAACACAAAATAATAATATAAAAATATATTAAAATTAAATAACAAAATATAATAATATAATAAAATTAAATCTAAGAAATATTACCTACTTAAGTTTTTAGTTTCTTTACTAATGTTGTAAATGTAAACATTTCTGTTTATTTATTGGCTTGTCCTTCTTTTACACAGTAATGGAGCAATTGATTTTTTAATTAATATGATTATGTTTTTTAAAATTGATTGGTTTTACTCGTATTATGTCACTCTTGTTCTATTAAATAGTAGAAAGTCTCTCTCATAACTCATTTGTAATCTCAATTTATTTATATTCGCTAGTAAAGTATATAATTCAAAATATATTTAGATAGATTTAAAATATTACGAGTATACAGGTGTATTGATATCTTAATGTACAAAATATACAAATTATTTCAATAAATCTAGATTTTCCTGTGCTTATCGTTCCGGTTTAAAAGTATTACGTCAGGAAGAGTAGATAAACGTAAGATATATCATTTTTTGACAGTATTTCAAAAAAACTACACAAACCAATTGTCTTGTGCTCTTATAGATAAACCCGTAAAATAGTAGTAGTAGAATAAATAAGAAAAAAAAATGTTATATAATTACTTAATATCAACTTAATAAACATTGCAACAATAGTGACATGTACCTATGGGTAAGTAAAATATGATTTAAAAAGAACAGGCTTTTCTAACAAAAATGTTTTGTACAGTATCTTTGGCGAGTTTCATTACTACAGCCCTATTAAGTCAAATCAATGGTATCGAATCATTTATTGTACAATCATAATACGCCTAAAAGTAACACGACTCACATCCCAGTGAATAGAATTGAAAGATTCTGTCACAATCAAACATACAGCTAAAATATGTGAGTAAACGTCATTTTAGGTACCGTTTTATTTTCATGTTGAACATAAATATGATTTCTCACTGTGACTCATAAAGAACGTCATTTCAATTACCCAACAACCAATAACTGTCCTATGCTAGAATCTAATTTCGAATTCAACAACAATATCTAATTGAACTGGGCGTTACATAGCACGAGCTGTGCGCCATTCATCGCGTCATCGTGTATTGTTACAGCATCTTACATCTAAAAAATCCGTTATATAAATACTAAAAATAAATTTCCTTACCTTATCTTCTTTAACTTTATTATTATTAGTCAAAAGCTAGATCAATTATGCGTTATTAGTTTATTTTAAAAGTAGGTCGAGTTTTAACTCGCCATCTTAAACATACAAAGTTCTAAGGAATGCTGTGCCCATATTTTCGCGGCGTTGTCACAGATCCCGAAAGGTCGGTGAACCGAAACTCTATTGTTCGTGTTGCGTCAACGTATCGTCTGCCTCGAGCTACAATGAATTGAATTTGTATCTTACTATTGTTACAGTGGTTGCGTGACTAATTTATTTTATTTATTACTATTTTAATATTGCTGAACTTAGATCTACAGGTGAGGTCTAATGGGGTGAGGCAGAAGTTCTAAAAGCGCACAGTTTGATAAATGAAGATGAGGATATATGCCTAGAATATTGATTTATTTTAGTAGTAATTTATAATTATTATCTAATAAAATTGACAAATAATGACTAAAATAATTATTATTTTATTCTAACATACATCATGTCAAATGCACGATTTCCTAGGAAAGCTTTCAAAGGAAAACGTGCAATTAACATAGATGATAGGTATAAATAATACTATACTAGATATGAATAAACCTTCTTTCATTCTTCAATTAAAAGTACTCTGAAGATGCTATATGCTATATTAATTACTACTAAAAATATTTCTAAATATATAGATATCAGGATTCAGATGCATTTGTTAAACTTTCTTTTTATAATCTATACCTACATAAATAAAAAAATTGTAACTAAGACGAATCTGAAAAATAAATATTTTTTGGAAAATCTTATTGAAATAAACATCATTATCGATACAGAGGCCGAATCTATAGTTTTTAGAATTTTTGTCTGTCTGTCTGTTACCGCATCACAGAAAAACCACTAAAGAGATTTTGATGAAATTTGGTATGGTGATACCTGGTTATCCGGGTCAACATATAGGATACTTTTAACCGCGGGAAAATGTCTCATTTGTGAGAAAAAATACAAAAACTGCAATGTAAGAGTATACTAATATGTAAAACCTAAGAATTTGGTTTTTTGGTTATGCTAGTTATTTAAATAAAATACATATTTTATTTTGTCTAATTCAATCGGATATCATTTAAATTGACATATTACAGTCAGAAAATAGTTAGCACAGAGATCCATTTGTAATAGTTTAAATGCTTAAGAGAGAGTCGCACAAGTGGGTACGAATTGACAATAAGATCAAAGTTCAGCGCGATTCAGGACTTGCCAAGAATGCCGGGCGCAGCCGTAGGGGAAACATTTTGCTAGGTGCCGATACAAAGTCCTACTAAAATCACGATTACTATTTTATGTCGACGTCGCCGAGATACCGTATCCGTCCCGTAAAATAAAGCGGTCATGGCTTAAGATCCTTATCTATTTTCTAGTAAATATTGTGATTATTAAAATGATTATTTATAATATTAGAAGATAATAAAGGTTTGTTGTTTAAAAAAGCCATATTTACTAAGTCACTTTGGTAAAGAATAAAGGTGACCCACTCACGAGCAATTGTTATGATGATAGCAACTGATTGATGGTTATAGTTTCTAATTTACAATGGCCAAATAGCCTCCAGCCAGTACCTGTGCCGGCGAAAGTGGTAGAATGCAAGAAACTTTGTTCTCACATGACCTGTAGGTCAACCGTACACATTCTGACACATGTCAATTAAGGTACTCGCCGCCGCCGGGCGCGGATTGAGAGCTTGGACATGTTTGTGGAAACCCTACGTCTGCTAGATTGATTCATTACCTTTCGAAAACGAAAGACGAATTGCTTGATACTTTAATATTTATACAATTTGATCTCTATCTACTTCAGAATATATTGCTTGCATTAATTTCCTAAATACCATCTGCGAGCTTGTTGAACAGTCAATACGACCATAAATCCTGCCGGTGAGGTACAGATGCAAAAGTACAAATGTTATTGCAGTTTACATGTGCATTCAAAGTGACAATTAGAGTGTTCGTTGAACAAATACACGTTCCAATGATGTACAGCTGCTTCGTTATTTCCCAAGTATGTCTTGGCAATTTACCGCTTCGGAGATCGATCAGCTCGTATTATTGGAAGAGGTCGGACGTGTACAAACATCGATTTCGTGTCGTTAATCTGGCGCCCCGTCTCCGAGGTGAGAGCCAACGCCGCGGAGTACGGCTCACCTCACGTATCGTGGAGATAACGACGTATAACAATCATAATGATACACTTAACCGATAAACAGCCTGCTTTTGGGTGCAATTTACTATGTTTTCATTCACATCTAATGTACTATGTACGAATTTTATTGCAGTTGCTCTATGATTTCCAAGCGCTATTTTGCGGTTAAATTCTGTAATTTTATTTAATGCTGTTTAACCGTGTGTATATTTTAGGTAATTTTCAGAATGGTTTTGCAATATTTTAAAACATAGCATATTATTTTAATGACGATAGATGAATTACGCGTTTAATTTAATGGTGTAATAAAGTTTATCTGAGTATACCTATGTTCTATCAAAGTGCATTATTGCGTAGTCGATAATATATTTTACAAAGGAATATAAACATTTAAAAAGTTATAGGAAGAATATGCTTTTCTTTAATGATAGTAGGCGACATGCAAAAATATTTGAATAAAGAATAGTACTGTAAAATTAAGATGTTATTGCATGTTTTATAACAAATCAGTGTAGTAGGTACGTATTTTTATACTTAATTTTTTTATATTATACGTAGTATACAGATTACATAGATTTTAATACAATATCTGTCTATTCTAACGATTAATGAAATAGATAATATGAAAATAAATATGAGTAAGAAAATTTACAAACGACACGCTTAGAAGAATTAATGACTTAACACTTAGATCTTTTAATGAATCTGGTACATACATACATACAAACATACATACATAAATACATACATATGTATGTAGGGCGAGAAGAGTTAGCTTTAAGAAAATGTTAACGTTTTTGAACTTGGGTAACATTCTTCTTAAAAAAGAAGGGTTAAACAAACACGTCTTTTCTCTTCAATCCTTTAAATATATAATCTTTCCTCTAACAATTTATTTATACAAATTGTTTATCGTATAAATGCACGATATTT